GGAATTATGGATTCTGGAAGAACAAGCTTACCATATCAATTACTTAGAACTGAAAGCAGTTCTGTTGGGTTCGAAATCCTTGTGCAGCACTATTCGTAACAAACACATTCGGATTCAATCTGACAATGCTGCGACAGTAGCATATGTAAATGCAATGGGGGTTATGAAATCCACTGACTGTAATAATGTGGCCAAGCAAATTTGGGAGTGGTGCCGCGAGAGAGTAATCTGGCTCAGTGCTTGTCACATACCTGGCTCAACTAATGTGGATGCCAACGCTGAATCTAGGAAAATTAACAGTTCAACTGAGTGATCCTTACATTCAGATGTGTTCGAAGATATAAACAAAATGTGGGGTCCGTTCCAAATAGATCTATTTGCATCCAGACTCAATTTTAAGGTTCCTAGTTATGTGTCATGGAAACTGGACCCTGGTGCAATATCTGTCAATGCATTCTTTATGAGGCGGAAAGAATACTTTTTCTATGCTTTTCCACCTTTCAGTGTCATAGCGGCCTGTTTACAGAAAATAGAACAGGACCAAGCGACTGGTGTACTCCTAGTTCCAATTTGGTGGACCCAACCTTGGTTCTCCTGCATCTGTGAGTAGACTACACTGTCCTTCTTCCACGGTCACACCACCTACTGATACAACCTCACAATCATGCGTTGCATCCCCTCCGGGAACAGATGAAACTAACGGCCCGCAAGCTCTCCGGAAAAGCCTACTGCAGAGAAATGTTTCAGACAAGGCTGCACAAATCATCCTCAAGTCCTGGTCCGCAGGGACATAGAAGCAGTACAAGCCTTGCATCACACAATGGATTGTTTTTTTTAAGCAAATGGAAGAGTGATCCTTACGACCCACCTTTGACAGCGGTTTTGTATTTTCTGGCCAGTCTCCATGACAAGAGACTGTCGTACACCACCATTAATACTGCCAGGAGTGCCATATCAGCCATTACTGTACTAGTGAACAATATGACCATTGGCACTCATCCACTCATTTCCAGGTTCATGAAAGGTGTATACAAGGGTTCCCCGCCAACTTCTCGGTACCAATGACCTTGGGATGTGCAACCTGTTTTGACTTGTATTTCCTCTCTCAAACCCCATGAGAAGCTTGATCTGAAAACTCTCGCGCTAAAGTTGGTGATGTCGATGTCATTGGTCACTGTACAAAGAGGACAAAGCTTACATATCGCTGACAATGACTGCATGAAAGAAGTGCCTGATGGATTCAACTTACAGGTAAGTCTCGTTTTCAATCTGAACAGGAATTCGCTATCAAAAACAAGAAGATAATATTTTATCATGCACTTTAAGGGCCTTAGTCAAATTTAATTTCTTCTCAACAAGTAAGCATTTTCCCTTTGTCATATCACTTACATTTGTAACGTAGCTCAAAAGTATATTCTACTATCGTTGTTGCCGCAGATACGCAAGCTACATAAACATTATCATTATGATAAGTCTCTGTATGAAATAATGGCCTAGTCAACAAGTCAATTTCGAGATAAACTCACCAGTCCTAAACGGCGAGGAGGAACAACTCAAGTTGAAAAATCTTTCATTCGGAAACGGCTCTAATAACAAGGTAAAATGAACCTAAGAATTTTCTCGAACTTGAAAGAAACACATTCATCATTGTTTAATAAACAAAGAGTGATTTTAGAGAACGCCTTAGCAAAGAAACTGTTCATTGCTCCATAACACAAAGGATGTAGGGCGATGGGAACGCAAATCAAAATAAAATTATAATCCATACAGAGTTGATGATATCTAAATGGACGCACAGTGATGTTACAAACCCTTTCCCACACATAATGGGCTTGATGCGGAAAATAACAAACGACGTCAATGATAATAAGCATAAAAATCATCTCAAGTAAATCTTTCACCGGGTCTGTGTTTTCGGGTTTACTGTCTCTTCGGTTATTCTGTTCGAGCAGAACATTTCTTCTTTCCTCATTCTCGCGCCATCTCGAAACTCTCGGAGTTCAGTTTCAACAACACAAGAGGATGAAACATTCAAATCCCGATTTCTTTCGTTAATCTGTACAATTCGCCTCCTGAAGTTCCACGCCACTGCTCCGTAAGATGCCAGCATTATCACATAAGGTAAAGCGTAGTTCAGGATGAATCTGATAGCTACATAGGACCTATTGTTTACGAAAGACAACTCCTCACAGTTACCATTTCTAAACCTGAGACCAACGAAATAGGGGCAGGCGATTGCAAATGACAACAGCCACAACCCAGATATGGTCAGAATTGTAATTCTCTTTACTGATAATGGTGTGCGTGGAAGAGGGTTTACAATGAATCTGTAACGATAAAAAGCGATGGCAGCCAGTGAGTAGATCACAACGAGAAGAGCAACTACTTGCAACGGATTCACAGTGCATGCAGCCTCTTGCAGAACGACGTCAGTTCGATTCTTCCCGTTCGCAAAACATCATTGACGGCCAAACAAACGCTGCTTAGAATTTCTGCGAAGGCCATGTTTAGGATAAACGTAAACAACAGTCCTTCATGGAAACCCATTTAATTTAGCAACTTAATCTGTTTTTCTTTATCGTTAAATTAAAACTGCCTTTCTTTTTCTTTCCTCTTGACAGTCTCCACGGATGAATATATGTTTCTTCCTCTAATTACTGCGTAGAATTTTTAACAATCGTTAAATGGAAGTTAAGAGCCTTTATTTATTTTGATGAAAGACTTGAATACTTTTAAAAATAGAGTTCTTTTACAACTATAAGAGAGTTCGAGGTCTTTAAAGAATATTTCAAGATAATGTGGGCCCTCACAGCGGTTCAGCCCCTCCATATTCCAGAGAGGAAAGCCGTTAAAACTTCCGGAATCTATGAGGATCTTTGCAGCTACCGTGACTGTTTCTTGGACAACTTCCAAATCGAAAATGTCATTATAATATTGTCTCTAAATGAAACTGCAATAAACCTGCAAGACTTCTGGCCTTGAATTATAACACCACAAACCAAATAAAAAGAAAAAGATTTATTGGAGTCGGCGTGCTTGGTACTAAGAGTGTGGGTTGAAACTAAAACGGTAAAAAAGCAAAAAAGTTACAAGGTAAATTAGAGTAAAGAAATAACAAAACTGCAAAACGAGGACTGTGAAGTACACTTACATTGTTTTGGCCAGAGAAAACTTCTGAAAAGAGGACTGCGAAAAACGCGAAGAGGCTAGAAACAAACTGAACAGAACTGTGCTAAGCGCGGACCAAACTGAACTCACAAACTGTACTGACAAATTACGATATGAAAATACGCTAGAACATGCAGAAAATAAAACTATAGAAAGGCGCTAATGAGGATGAAACAGCACGGAAACGCTAACGAGGGCACGGAAACTAACAGAAAGAGATAAACACCTAAATTAACACCAAAAAAAAGGACTAAACAAATGGACGAAAAAATGTTACACTTGGATCTTACATACCGGCCCCATAAGTGAGGAGCACACGCGAGGCACTTAAATTAAACAATTAAAGATCTAAGTGTTCTTAATGTTCTCTTCTCCAGAATTCAGAAAATTGCACAGAAAATAACTCCAAAGGGAAAGTTCAAGCTTCTATCAGCAAGCAAAGCTTGTCAATTGGCCTCTCCAAAACTGCTCCTTTTACTTTCACTCTGGTACGGCGCACCAAACCTTTCTTGTCTGCGAAGACTTCTACCACTCTACCAAGGGGCCATGAATTGCGAGGGGAATTTTCGGCGCTCACTAGAACAATATCCCCAACGGCCAGGTTCTTGCGAATCGTCGTCCATTTCTGCCTACTTTGGAGCAGAGGCAAGTACTCCTTAGACCATCTCTTCCAAAAAATATCTGCGAGATATTGCACTTGTCTCCATCTGCGTCGAGAGAAGGAGTCTTCCTTTTGGAATAACCCAGGGGGCATCTGAGGTTCCGAGCGTAAAAGAAGCAAATGGTTTGGTGTAAGGGGCTCCGGATCATTGGGGTCACCTGAAACTGTGGTGATTGGACGACCATTAATGATGCTTTCCACTTCGCATAGGAGGGTGACTAAACCTTCGTCGTCAACAGTTTGAGTTTGAAGCAAAGCTCGAAGGACCTTGCGCGTTGTTCGAATGCAGCGCTCCCAAACACCTCCATAATGGGAGCCATAGGGGGGGTTGAAGTTCCACTTGATACCCTTCTGAAGTAGAGCTTCGTGAATCTTGTTGTGATTCCACGCGTTGATGGATTCCCTGAGCTCCCTCTCTCCGCCGGTGAAATTGGTACCATTATCGGATCTGATCTCCTTTACCTGGCCCCTTCTTGCTATAAACCTTCTGAGCGCCATCAGGAAAGAATCAGTTTCCAAACTGTGCGCCATTTCAATGTGAACCGCGCGGATAGAAAGACACGTGAAAATGACCCCATATCTTTTCACAAGACTTCGCCCACGGCGTACCTGAAGAGGACCAAAACAATCAATGCCGACAGATGTAAAAGGTGGCTGACCTGGGGTAACACGATCCACGGGAAGGTCAGCCATTTTCTGCTCACAGAACGGGCCTTGACGCCGCCGGCAACTGAAACATTTCGAAAGAACTTTCCTGACAACAGAACTTGCGTTTACGATCCAAAACTTCTCGCGAGCAAGACTGATAACGTACTCTCTTCCAGAGTGACCGGAGATCTGGTGGTAATATTCTACTACAAGGTTGGTCACGTGATCCTTCTTGGGCAAAATAATCTGATGTTTGGCCTCAAATGCAGTGGACGCTAAACTTAACCTCCCACCGACACGTAAGACGCCGTTCACTAAGATTGGATCCAGACTTCGAAGGCTGCTGCTTTTCTTGACTTGCGTACCGTTTTCAGACTTGCTTAACAGCTCAAGCTCATCCGGAAAATTGAACTGCTGGACGTTCCTGAGGATTTCTAGCTCCGCAATTGCCAACTCCGTAACGGTAATTGGTGGTAAAGAAAGGATGGGAGTTGAAAGGATCGGCTCTCTCGATTTTCCGCGTTTACTTGACCTTTTCAAGTTTCCAAGGTATCGTAAAAACCATGCAACTGACTTCTTCAATCGGTGCCAGGAAAGCGCGTTGAAAGTACTCAACCAAAGGATGCTCCGACTCGGAAACAGAAGCGTGACAAACCTTATAAACCATCTTCACTTCCGGGTCTCCGTCTTGAAGACATCCAAGGGATAAGGGGTTCCTAGGCCAATCTTCTTCTGACTTCCAAAGAAACTCCGGCCCCAGTAACCATCTTTGGCAGCTCAACAATGCTTTGGCAGTCAGCGCTCTTGAAGCGCAATCTCCAGGATTCGCTACACCTTCCACATAGCGCCACTGATCTGGACTTGAGCCCTCTCGTAGTACGGCAACCCGATTGGCAACAAACGTGTGGAAACGCGTACTTTCGTTCTTCACATAACGAAGCACTGACATGCTGTCTGACCAAAACACGGATTCACAATTAGGAAGCATCTCCAGCTCTTCCTTGAGCATCTTGTCTTGTCGCACAGAAACGGTTGCGGCCGAGAGCTCTAAACGAGGAACAGAGATAGTTTTCAAAGGAGCAACGCGTGATTTTCCAAACAGGAAGGAACAATGAACTCGGTCCTCATGGCTAAGCAGTCGAAAGTAAGTCACTGAGCCATAAGCTGCTTCTGAGGCATCAGAGAAGTGATGTAGCTGACTGGATTTAACGGGACCAAAATCCTCTGGCCTTAAACAGCGACTCACAGCAAACTCCGAGAGCTTTGGAACATCTGCTAGCCAATTTTCCCAACGTGCAGTGTACTCAGTCGGGATCTCGTCATCCCATCCTAGCTTAATGCGACAAAGATCTTGAAGGATTTCCTTCGCGGTCAGAACGAACGGTGCCAGGAATCCCAACGGATCGAAAATAGCACTCGCTAGAGACAAGATACCCCTACGCGTTGGTGGACGGGAGCTAATGTTGACTCTGAAGCGGAACGAGTCGGATTCTACACACCATTGAACTCCCAGGGCTCGCTGAACAGGCAACTCTTCCTTCCCTATGTCCATGTCCTTGATGTCCTTTGCTCGCTCCTTCTCAGGGATAGCTTGCAGAACATCACGACTATTGCTGACCCATTTGGTTAGCTTGAAACCACCACGTGATAGTAAACTGCATAAACTGCCAACATGCTCAATGGCTTTCTGCTCGCCAGGGAGGGACTTCAAGCAATCATCAACATAAAAGTTTCTTTTAACTGTGTTAATGACGTCAGGAGGGAAGCTGTGACGATTATCTTCTGCTGTCTTGCGGAGTGCGAGGTTTGCGCAAGCCGGTGATGAAATGGCTCCAAACAAGTGAACGACCATCTGAAATTCTTGTAATTCGCGCGCCATGTTGCCATCCTCCCACCAAAGAAAACGCAGAAAGGAACTGTCAGGATCGGGAACTCTCACTTGGTGGAACATGGACTCTATGTCCGCCATGACGGCCACTCTCTCTTCACGAAACCTCAACAGGACTCCTACAAGCGAACTAGTTAGGTCCGGGCCCTTGTACAGCATGTCATTGAGGGACTTTCCCATAAATTTGGCCGAACAGTCAAACACGACGCGGATCTTTCCTGGCTTGCGAGGGTGGTAAACACCATGGTGCGGTATGTACCAGGCGGTGCCCTTCGCGGGGCTATTCTGATCAGGGGACACTTTGCGTGCATATCCTTTGGAGAGAATGTCTTCCATAAAGGCCTTATAATCTTGGTACAACTTCGGGTCTCTTTCCAGCCTTTTCTTCAACCAAATGGCGCGCTGCCAGGCCTGAGCATTGTTGCTGGGTACAGGCGTTTGGCGATCCTTAAAAGGTAAAGAGATTTGATAGTGCCCATTTCTCAACTCCACCGTCTGTTCGGCGATTTGCATAAATCTACGTTCGTCTTGAGACATCTCTGTCTTGCTATCAGCGGTGGGATCGGTAAAATCGCGGTTGTAGAAGTCTTCTATCATCTGTTGGAGCCGGTGATCGACTTTAGCAACAAAAGTGGATGACCGTGAACTATGGTGACGACGGCCTAAGGGACCATTTACCGCCCAGCCGATTCGAGTTCTTGAAGCATAAGGACCACCGTCTTGACTGTGTTTGATATCAAGTGGATCGAGAGCCTTGGGAACGTCACTAGCAATCAAAAGGCCAACCTCAGCGTCGAGACGAGGCAGAAAAACTCCTTGCAAGTGGGGCCACTGATCAACGTCATCTTGAGTTGGAATGTCGCTGCTGGACACAGGAATCTCCGGCCTGGTATAAAGGGTCGGGAGGCTAATCCACTCGTTCTCGTCCAAATCGGATACAAGAAGGTCGCGAACCAGGAAGCTGTTGGTGATGCTATTTTTCTTCTCAAGAGTAGACAGGGATATCTTAACTTGCTGACCATTAATCCCGAGCTGCTTCATGAGCGATTCAGTACAGAAACTGGAGTTGCTACCGTTATCCAGGAAGGCGTAGGTGACGACGCTCTTATCACTATCTTTCGCTCTTACTCTAACTGGTATTACGGCCATGCCTGTCCTACGACCCTCTCCTGAAGTCTCACTGTTGGCACTGGTGCCCGTTTTTACCATGTGACTACAAACTTGAGTGCTGATTACGTCTTCCGTACCCACTCCAACGTCGACAGCTGGTCTCTCACGAGGGCTTGTATGTAAAACAGTAGGATGCCGTCCTTTACAGTTCGCAATCTTGCAATTTTTCCTCTGCGGGCAAAACTTTGCGACATGTTCGGTGGATAAACATCCAAAGCACAGCTTTTTGGACAACAGGAATTGAATTCTCTCTTGGTAGGGTTTCCACCGCAATGATTGACAATCCTCAAGGGCGTGGTTTCTGCTACAATAGAGACACCGATTTTTCCCTTGTGAGGGACCCTGATCGATTCCAGTTGACTGAACCTTGCGAGTCTGAGGTCTCTGCTCTCCATCGGCGCGTTGACATGGCTCCTTTACACCCTCACTGGTATGACCTTCACTATCGCCTACATGTGCTAAGAGACTGAGATTCTTGGGATTGGATGTCTTGCCACCATAGGACCGCTGACCAGGCGCCGATCTTACGGTATCGGATATCTTGCCAAAGACTGGGTTGGTTAGTATTCGTGCTTCGCGATCAACAAAGGCGACGAAGTCACTAAACTGTACTGGCCTTAACTGTCTGTCCATGATGTCATCAGCTAAGCGACGCCATCTTTCTCTCATGCTGTAAGGAATCTTGAGCACCAACTTTTGAATGTTTCCTGGCTGATCAAACTTAGAAATGTACTGGCTACCTGCCAATGCGTTCTTGCAACTTGCGAGAAAGACTGAGAAACGATTCAAAGCCACACCATCTTCTGCCTTTATGCTCGGCCAGTCGAGGGCCTTCATCTCGTAAGCGGATGCTATGCGATAATCGTCACCATACTTCCTTCTCAAAAGCCTACGAGCCTCATCGTAACCTTCTTCCGCTGGTAAATGATGACAGGATCTTACAAGTTCCTTAACGTCCCCTGCGGTGAACTGCTCGAGGTAATAGAGTCTATCAGTACTGCTAAATGTTCTGGATTCAACCAAATTTTCAAAAGCGCGAACGAAAGTGCGGTACTCAATAGGGTTTCCGTCAAACACAGGGACACGGGGCTGCGGAAGTTTGTTCCTATTCTGATTATGCGCTAGCAATTCCATCATTCTGTTCTGCTGAAACTGAAGAACAGTCTGTTGCCGCTGCAAACCAATCGATTCCTTTCTCAGATCCTCACCGACTGTACAGGCTTGATAATCAAACTGGCCGTAAGGAACAGAATCCATAGACACGCCCTGGCCTGGGTGGTGCACCTCGCCTGGAAAAGACCTTTTCGCGCGGGGGCTGGTACGAGGGGGTTCCTGATCCTGGAGCTCTGTCTCCAATTTTAAAGGCTTCACCTCCGGTAGAGAAGGGGGGGTCATTGCTGCGTAGACCCTCTCCTTAGCTGTTGTCTTGATCATTTCGGCTTCGAGGTTAAGGCGTAATTCTTCCTGCTGTAAACGAAACTTTTTCTCTTCGAGTGTTTGGCGCTTTTCGAGCATAGAAATTTCAGCTTTTAACTCGGCAATTCTTGCGGCTTCTTTGGCTCTCGCGGCTGCAACTGATGAAGCACGATCACCACGTGAACTTGCTCGACTTGAATGTTTTGAAACCTTGGAAGCACCTGAAGGAATTGGTGTGCCAGCACAACTAATTGAATCCTCGGGATTCACTGCCGAACCCACCCGAAGCGACTCTGCTAATAGCTTGTATTCAATATTAATTATCCATTCGATGATCTCCTGACGGAACACACGAACCTTTCTCTCCTTGTCTTCAAGATAGCGTTGCTCCTCAATAATGGCGTTCTCATCCAGAATTTCTTCGACGTAATCGCGATGGGCCTCTTTGAATCTTTCAAAAGCGTTGTCCAAGTAAGGAAGCTTCCCTTTAACCTCCTGAAGATTATGATCATCAGTAAGCAAGCCAGAAATTTCATTGGAAATGGCGGTTACGGTAGATAGGTGACCAGACCTTGAATTTTTCTTGAAACGAAGTGTTTCCAGGTTAGACGCTTCAAAATCCAGCGAACGGTTTGGTTGTCGTACGCGTGTTCCAACTCGCCGAGCGACGGGATCTGTAAGCTGCTTGCGGCTAAAGCTCATGACGAAACGACATGTCACCAACAATTTTCAACGATGAAACTGCAATAAACCTGCAAGACTTCTGGCCTTGAATTATAACACCACAAACCAAATAAAAAGAAAAAGATTTATTGGAGTCGGCGTGCTTGGTACTAAGAGTGTGGGTTGAAACTAAAACGGTAAAAAAGCAAAAAAGTTACAAGGTAAATTAGAGTAAAGAAATAACAAAACTGCAAAACGAGGACTGTGAAGTACACTTACATTGTTTTGGCCAGAGAAAACTTCTGAAAAGAGGACTGCGAAAAACGCGAAGAGGCTAGAAACAAACTGAACAGAACTGCGCTAAGCGCGGACCAAACTGAACTCACAAACTGTACTGACAAATTACGATATGAAAATACGCTAGAACATGCAGAAAATAAAACTATAGAAAGGCGCTAATGAGGATGAAACAGCACGGAAACGCTAACGAGGGCACGGAAACTAACAGAAAGAGATAAACACCTAAATTAACACCAAAAAAAAGGACTAAACAAATGGACGAAAAAATGTTACACTTGGATCTTACACTAAATTTAACCACTGTGTGATGCAAAAGGAACGTTTGTAGCGACTTGAAAATTTTATGTCCTTTCGCAAGTTTTAGAGTAACTGAACCAGGGGAATGAACATGTGTGACTTACAAATGTAATAAGGAGCTTCGTTGAGCTTCAAATCCATTATAAATTTTTTTTATGCGCGTTTCTCGGCTTCGATAGAGTATCAAGTTGTAATGCGTTTCTCCGCACAATCGAATCCGTTTATAATGTAAAACTCAAGATAACTTATGCAGCTAATTGAAAGCCTCGAAACAATTGTTGAATTATCGCCATTTAACACTAATTGTATTTTTAGACGCAAACATCATAAAATATATTTCTCTACGCTTTCAATAGTTTTGGTACCTAATTAAAATTTCAATTACTTTTTCTTGCTAAATGCCTTTATGGCAACAGTATCTCGATTAATCGCGCGGTATTTGAGAGATCATTTAGTAGCGCTTCATGTTGAAAAAGAGCCAGTCTGAAAGCAAAGAATTCACCAAAAATATTTTAATATGGAGCTTGAGGCCCAAGTAGCAATTAAATAATGCAGCATTCAACTTGTATGTTTCTGGGAAGTTGTTTTAGGAGTTATTTCAGATCTCGAAGCAAAAGATGGCAAATTTGGTCGTTCGATGAATAGAAACGAGTATACTTTTCCTTGTTTTCACCAAGTACTTTTCATTTCAGTGTCCAGAAACTGAATCAGGTTCGCTCTTATTCTGAGGCAAATTTCTAAGTCGAAATTTTGCCAGAGTCGCCAAAACTGTTTGTCTCCGTAATTGTTTTTTGAATGGGTGAAAAAGTGCAAGGAAACGGCAGCTGGACTGTCGAAGTTAAAGTGCAAAGCGTGAAAATCTGAAAATGAGAATCAACATATTCGCCAAAAGTTGAAGGAAATCACTCAGTAGCACAATAAAAAGTATTTAAAATCGTAACTTACATCTTTATCTTCGTTGGTATCGTTATTTCTTGTTGTCGAGAGTTTTTGAAGTTCTCTCAAACTTACTTATGGTTAGGCTTTTTCGTACATCGTACAAGTTTGTTGTTGAGGCGGAAGGAAAAAAGATCGTCCTAAATTTGCCACTTTGAATGTTATTATTAAATTTTGCTGTGAAAGCACTATCCAGCGCATGGCGATTTTCTTCTGTTTTGGTGGGTTTGTAACTGCACAACCCATTTCAGTGCTGTGATGTCCATCTTTCATTTCGAGCCACTCACAGACCGAAAATGAAAGACAATATTAGGAAATATTGTTTTCGTCGGTAAAACTACAGGAAGATCGCCACATCATAACTTACAGGAAAACATGCATCATTCTGCACTTCTCAGGACATGTATAGTCATTACAATTTACAAGTTGGTAACGGTATCAGCTTACGACCGAAATTCCCCTTCGCCGCAAATTTCAAGAGAAGAAAAATGGGGCAGAAACAATCATACAAGGCCAGTTTAAGGGAGAATAAGCTAAAATATACTATCTTGTATTAAACTACCTGTCGATCACTCCTGCAGATTCGCTGCGTGCTTGCACTTAAGCTTCAGCCTTTCATTGTGATAGTCGCCTACTGACGAACAAAGCTCAACTGAAATATTAACACCCAACGGACAATTGTCACCTGCATAAAACATTGTTTGGAAAATGCAATTACATTTAAGCTCTAAAGCTGTCAGGATATAAACCAATGAAAAGGGCTGAGTTTTACGCAGCTTACTATTAAAAATGACAGTTAATTTTGAGTTCGTTCGGGTGCAGCAAAGTGTTTAATTAAGCACGTCCTACTAATTTGAAGAGTTTTGTTGAACGTGATATTTCTAATAAGAAATTCATTATCTCACCTTCAGTAAAGCGAGTATGAAGAAACAATTTGTGAAAAAAATATGCTCGTTTGTTTCCGCTATCAAAGTATTGAAAGCTGATCTTTCGATGGTCATCAACAAAAATAGTTATGACACTTGTTAACGTACAGGAACATTGTTTAACCGTCATATGTACACATGTTTACCAAGGAAAAAGGATAAAACGTCGATCGCCTCTAATCTAATAGTACTGAACGCACAAAAAAAAAACAAAATCATGTAACTTCTGAAAAGCTCTGTGGAAAATAAAAGCAGCATTGAAATTCTGTCATGAATGTTTTCAATGGCTTAAAACTCTTCCCTACATGAATAAGCTTTTAAGGTTATTTTTCTTCAGTTTGAAACGCGTTCATTATCATATGCCAACATTATATACAACAACGGAAATTAAATGTCAAACTGATAACTATTTCGAATTAGTTACAGAAGCAAATACGAGATCGCAAGCTGTCACCGTTTAACAACTTCCTCCTTACATGTTAGAATAAGAAAGCTATCAAAACAATCGAAACACAAAGTTCTGCGGTGACAGTTGTTTTTCCTCGCACTGAGTTTTTTTCATTGATTTCAAATCGATGAATTAAATTCTTTCAACCCTTCCAAACCCGGTTTTAAAAAAAAAGACACCATCATTTCTTGTTGACAACTTTACTCCTTCATAACAACTTCAGCAGATGGGACAAGTGGAATCATTATTTGAAAAACTGAGAAAAAATCGGAAGCGAGCTCTGACTCGAGGCGAGAGACTCCTCGCATTGGATGATTTGGTTACCTTTTTAGTGTTTAGTAAAAGATGCAAAGCAATTAAGGTAACGAGGAAAACAAAGTAAAGTTTCGCCATTGAGGTTTAGTTTTGTGTTGACTTTTACTCTTCCTTACGTGAAGATTGTTTAAATAAAGAGTCCACAGCATCTTGTGCAGTGGCACAAATTCCCCGAGAAAACCTGTTTCGCAACTCGGTATAAAGTTTCCTCACAAACTTAAATTTCGCATTGAAGAACGAATTTCAATTTTCCATCTTTTAATACTCCTTTGGGTTCTTAATGTTAATTGCGCCAATATTTTGAAGTGAGTAAGAATTGAAGTCCACGCAGTCTTCAAGACATTGCATTATATTTACTTTCTACAATCTACGAATATTTGAACCATGGTTTATGCAAACTACAATTAAAGGCCCGAACTTTTAATTAAATAAATTCAATTACTGCTGTGACAAAATGTCGAGAATCTTCTGTATTTGGACCACGTCCGCCGTCTTTTAATTTCACTGAAAGCCTCCTGGAAGCTTCAAAATTTGTCTCCATTGGCGAAGTTTTTTTCTTCACCAAATCGCTTACCCCCTTTCAATCCCAGTCGTCCATTTTAAAATTCCAGGCAAAGGTCTCCGCCACCAATAGCGGAAAAACCAAGGAAGCGTCTGCATAAACCTAAAAGGAAATAATTATCATATATCAAATGAGGTTTTAAATCATCTATTTCTTTCTTACAAGTTTTATTCAACATTTTCTCTCACTTCATATTCAAGCTGGTCTTTAAACACTGCGGTTTGAGTGTAATAAAAATTAGCACGTAGGAATCAATTTCCTTGTCAGTCTGTCACTCCATCCAGGGAAATCCTATGATGAAATCCATTGATAAAATGGAGAGTAGATTTTAAACTAACCATCACGTAAAATTTTTCTTTAAATAAAAATATATTTGTGTTGAATAATTCATCCGTTTACCTAAGAGGAAAAAAGATTTCTGAAAGGTTTTCGTTCGGTAAACAGTTGTTCATCTGTTTGTCATTTAATTTTACTTTCTACGGAAGCAAATGTCGCAGTAAATGGTTTAATGGTGATAAAAAATGTTCTTTAAGGGAAAAAATTAAATTAATCAATTGTAAGTGAAAAAGGATAATAAGCATATAGGCAATTTTCTTCGACAAAAAACAGCTGCTTTGTTTCCATGAGCTTGGTGCGGTATTGAGCCGATAATTTCACGCAGAGAAGATTTTGCTAGCTGGGCTGAAAATTGTCACATCGGACCCACGCAATTTTTCACTACTTCCCGTACAGTTTTGTGAAGCCGGTCAACCTATATATTTCCAAAGGAGGACTTAGCAAACACAGTGAGGTCTTTCAGGTAATGGAATATTTTAATTCATGATTCAATCGTGACAAACTGAAGGGCTTGCATGACAGGGAAAGGGGAGAAGCTTAACTTCAAATATGTTTCTGAGGATACTTAAAATCTTCTTCATTTCTGTTCCTGGACTGCATTGGGCATCAAAGTTCGTCGTGCTCGTTCGATCCACGCTCCCATAATTTGTTTCGAACCATGCCTATACATGGTATGCTACGTAATCAGAAATAAAAATAATGATAAAAGAAAAAAAGGGAAATACTCGGAAGAGGTGGGTCGTTTTTAAATTGTTATATTATTTTGTGAAGAAAAAAGAAGTCTCACTTTCGAAAATTTGTAGCATTCGCTTGATGAAATTTAGAATATTCGATTAAAACTATAAATTTTTTTATAAATGCTTTTTTATTTATGATGTTCATCATCCGTTCATCAAAGAAGCTTTACTGTACCACAGCTCGTGCAAAATATCAACTTCTATCCAGCTGACCCACAAAATATCTGCTCCTTAAAAGTTAATTTTTTGTCAGGAAATGAGTAATCTTTAAGTCCCGCGTGGGTTTGTTCTGTTGAAGACTGGCACTTGCAGCGCTGGTCCATTTTTGTGTACGAGGCCGGCTGCCACCTTGACGCAATAAGCTCTGTGTACGGGAGAACTGGTTTCCGCATCATTCATCCAAGTATTGATCAAAGTATGAATTTGAAACAAGACTTTCTTATTGAAATATGTCCCTGTAAAGAGTAATAAAGAGCGTAAATTTCTATAGAAACTGTGATGCTGCGTTGGTGGAAGGGTAATACAAGGTATTTCGGCATTGTCAAATGTTATTATAATGTGATTTGGCCTCCGTAGAGAAAACCAAATTGTAAATTGTCCACTATTGATTCGCACTGACAAAGAACTGACGCTCGAAACGTCAGCTTTAGAAAATTTCTATAGTGGCTAAGTTACGTATATACATTATAAAACCAGCGAACTGATAAAACCAGTGAAAGAAGAACGTTTATATTACGCTAGCATGTAATTTAGAAATTCAAATCAATCGCGGAACCTTTTTCAATTAGGTTTCCTGTCTTTAATCGTGTCAAATCTTCCTGCGGGCGGAGAAACGTACGTCCTTCTTAAGCTGTCTTCACATTCCCTAGTTATGAGCTTTTCTACTCCGAGAGTGATAACAAAATAAAGCTTCTATGGATTTGTGATCACCTAGGTATTCATTCCCAAAGTCTGTTGTTCTTGAGAGTCCAAAGAGAGCTGAATCATCTGACAAAAACTCTACTTTGGAAGCAAATGAAATTCAAATAGACTGTAATCATTTATCTTATTTGTTTTCGTGCATATTGAATTTTCTTTTTCTGCAACCGAAATTTATTTTTGATCGAGGGGAATAATTAGCGAACTTAAAATGTTAAACGGAACCAAATGGCATTTTCAATACAACAATCCATGGATTTTTCAGTTTTATTTACTAATAGCATGTTTCTGATTGGGAAGAAAAAGCCTAAAAACGTATTATTCAATTTGCTTAACTTGCAAAACAAACAAGGGACAAGATTCTGATTTTTTAGTCTTGCGGTCGGTGGGCCCCAATAAAACTCAGTATTTTGGTTCCGTTATATTTGCTGCACCAAAAAATATAATTTTTTATGAAAGTCCGAATAGCGTTGAGGGCAACGCATCGTGAATTAAGCTATTGTTCTGTTTTCATAGACTGTCGCAAATGAGCAAAGTTCCCTCTGTACAAATAGTAAGTGTGGTGACTGAGAACAACCAATATCTATCATAAAAACGGCAAATTCATTAAAAGCAAGGGAACTTTGCCATTTATTTATGTTATTATAGTTTTATAGAATTTCGAATGCCGCTTTACCGTAGTAGGTGCACTCCAGCTAGGTATGGAATGTTTGACGCGAACCGCGAAAAGCTAATTTTGAATCAGGTTGTATTGAGTGAACTGCAAAACACCATAAACTTGATGCAAGGAAATAGGTTTTTTTTTTGTCCATCAGCCTACAAAGTGAGTTTTTCTGGCAATGAAAAGTCAAGCTCGGAATGTATAAGAATACGGAACAAACATTGCAAATCAGGAAACCACAGCTCACCAACGCGTCACGGCAATATGAGTTTTAAGTTAAGTCTATATGTGACGAGACGAATTCAAAAACTACCTTCAAATTATGAAAACAAAAACCCCGTTGTGTCGGCTCATTAACTCCTTGAGCCGACAGTTTTGAAAATTTATATCTATCCATCCGAAGGGTTATTCTTCCATGATAAAAATTATGAGTACTTCCTTCCTTCCACTTAAGTAAATAATTGCTATCAAGGCCATTATTTGTCTTCGATGCATTAGCTCATTGTTCCTGATATTTAAGTTATTACAAACACTTGAGGATGGATAAAGAATGATTGAAAGACAATTCGTCGCGGCTCTGGAAGTTTTGAAATGCTATCAATTTTTTATAACTTCCGTAAATTCGCCATAAATGTGGAATTTCAGAAAGCAACAAAATCTAACTGTCGACATCCAATGGCATAAAAAACATTTAATTGATTCTTAAAGGTAAGAGTGCAATGATATGTAAATTAGCTACCATGGATTAAGTTTCTGTATATCTCTTTCTAGTAGCAGTAGAGAAAGTCACCTGTGATAGACGATTCTATGTAATGCTCTTTTTCAGCCCCTTAGGAGTTCTCCATCGAAGGAACACAGAAATGTCGTTATTTACCAACACTACCATAGGTGGAACCAATACCTCCACCGAGAGCACAATTGAACAATATGAAGAACCAAAAGCTCTGTACATTTTCCGTTTAACCCTCTTCTCCGTGATCATCTCGGCCAGTTTAATCGGCAACTCGATGGTTTGTTATGCTGTGTGTACCATACCTTCCCGCAAGCCTCTGTCCTACCATCTCGTCGCTAACATGGCCTTCGCAGAAATTCTAAGCAGTGTTTGTTTAGCCGTCATGTTTGCGAGAGAGCAGAATCCAACTGACTACGTCCTTCAAGAGGCCGCATGCATTTTGAATCCGTTCCAAGTAATTGCTCTTCTCATTGTGATCTACTCACTGGCTGCCATCGCTTTTTATCGTTACAGATTCATTGTAAACCCTCTTCCACGCGGATCATCCGCTAAGAAGATTACAATTCTGACCATATCTGGGCTGTGGCTGTTGTCATTTGCAATTGCCTTCCCCTATTTCTTTGGTCTCAGGTTTAGAAATGGTGAGTGTGAGGAGCTGTCTGTCGTAAGTAATAGATCCTATGTAGCTATCAGATTCATCCTGAATTACGCTTTACCATATATGATAATGCTAGCATCTTACGGAACAGTGGCGTGGAACTTAAGGAGGCGAATCGCACAGATAAAGAAAAGGAATCGGGATTTGAATGTTGCACCCTCTTGTATTGTTGAAACTAAACTCCAAGAGTTGCGAGATGGCGCGAGAATGGAGGAACGAAGAAGTGTTCTGCTCGATCAGAATAACCGAAGAGACAGTAAACCCGAAAACACAGACCCAGAGAAAGATTTACTTAAGATGATTTTTATGCTTATCATTATTTTTGTTGTTTGTTATTTTCCGTATCAAGCCCACTATGTGTGGGAAAGGGTTTGTAACATCACTGCGTATCAATTTAGATATCATCAACTCTTTATTGATTATAATTTTATTTTGATTTGCCTTCCCAGCGCCTTACATCCTTTGTGTTATGGAACAATGAACAGTTTCTTTGCTAAGGCGTTCTCCAAAATCATTCTTTGTAGATCTTGAAAACACAAGAATAAATATGTATCTCAAGTCGTAGAATGCTTTGCTCAAGTTCGAGCAAATTCTCAGGTTTGTTTTGCATTGTTATTAAAGCAGTTTCCGGATGAAAGTTTTGTCAACTTGTTCCTCAGCATTTTACGCCGTTCAGGATTGGTGAGTTTATCTCAAAATTGGCTTTTTAACATATACAGACTTATCACGATGATAAATGTTTATGCGGCCTGCACATCTGCGGCAACAAAGATAGTGGAAGATACTTTTGAGCAACGTTACAAATGTTAAAAACTTTAAATTACTTCAAAACGATTCAGAGACCGGTACTACCTTTACGCAACCTCTACTAATTTCGTTCCAACGTAACAAAAACATAAGCAACTTTTTGGTCAAAAGTTCAAGATATGAGACCAACGGCCAACCTGGAACTAAGCAAATGCGCTCGCTCTCGATGCAAAACTTGTCCTTTCATTTACAACGTAGAGAAAATGTCGGAACCCGAGAGATCCATTAAGATTACCGATCACTTCACGTGCACCTCCGCCAATGTCATCTATTGCGTAACTAGCACTTGATACAAAAAGTTATACATTAGTGAAACAGGAAGACGACTAGGTGACCGATTCCGAGAACAATTTCGCGACGTAGAAAGAAATGAATAGGACGCATCCAAACCAGTCGCTAGACACTACAATTTCCCGAATTACTCTGAGCAGCATATAGCAGTTTGCGGCATTTCCCTCCATCTAAGCAATTCGGAAAGCCGCAAAACTCTAGAACAAATACGAGAAGAGAAATTTTATATCTGAAAATAACCATGTATTATTTTGTTTATTACATAAACATAATAGCCCATTTTTGACAAGAAAAGTCGACTTGATTAATAAATGAAAATAAAAGGATCGACAATCCCCGTCAGCAGTATCCAAGTGTCGCACTGGACATGATTGTGCACACGACAGCGCTGAAAAACTCATAAGAAAGCACTTTCTTCCCCTGGAAATGTCACCAAATCGTCGGTGACCTTGATAAATAGTTCCAGCGATTGATAGAATTGCACCTGACATGATAGATCAGTTCAAAAAGAGCAATAAAAACTTACTCGCTGGTCGACTAATGAACTCCCCAGGGCTTGATGGCAGGAACATTGGACCATGTGGGCTGCGCACGCACAATTAAAAAACTACCGCCGCTGATCTTCATACTGCATCTTCAAAATCATCACCACCGAACGAACGAAGTCACAATTCAATGGATCGAGTGTTGAACGCATACATTTAGAGCCCAGGCCTCACACGGAAAGTCAGGAATAGTTTTGCTGCTCGCTAATGCTCGCAGTAACAAAAGTTTTTATTATAACGATTCTAACTTGGATTCCCGCCTTTGAATCAAGAAGATACGGTGTACTGCTGGTAGATTATCTTTTAAAGATGAAGTTAATTGGTGTTACATCACGATGCTTTATGACTGGGATTGGTTTAGAAAATTTGCACCACCTCTTAGTCACTCGAGTTTTGCCGCGCTCTCTTTGTCTCCATGGGATGTTTATCTTGCTGACAGTCGAAATTTCTTTTATGAATTCAATCGAATGACGCTCCATCTTATTTCGGTAGTGAATTATTGATCAGGTTAGTATGGCGTGCTGTACAGTCGGCATAACTTGATTTCGACCTTTCCTCGAATCATTCCCACAAATTGTATTTCAATTTTTATCTTTAAATGAGCTGAACAAGACGTTAACAATGCTTCCAAGAAGCTACCTAGTTTTTATTTCTCGGATATTGTGCTGTGGAGAAATTTCTGCTACTACCCTAGCAAGATAGATATACAGACACTTATGGGCAGAAATGTGATAGTAGAAAAATGTTAATATCGTCGAGCAGCTAAGGTAGCCCGATTGATAAGATTTCATTCATTTTACGGCGCTTTTTTCTTATGATGATGCTATCTCCTTTATCAAATCATTCTTTGCGAAAGCTTGACAAGAAGATATCAAAACCTGTTCCTAATATGGCAGTTTAAGACTGCTTTGAAAAGCATTAAATTTTAGCTTAAATAGGAACCGTGTACGCGAAAACGTTTGTAATGAACCGTTGAGAAAAGGTTCTCTCATTTACAAAATATTCCTGTCTGCGACTTTGTTGAGAGTATGAAAATGGCGACGGCAATCAAAGGACACAAAAAAATTATTTTCATGAAAACGACTGGTCATGATTAGCGCAAACACACTTGTCGACACAATAACTTGCGCCGATATTTTTTTTCGGTAATCTTTTTCTTTCAAACAGATCTGTGCCTTGAAGATGCCGTTGTATTATAAGAGGAATTTGAAATCGTTCTGAATAATTTGAGATATAGCGATAGACTAAACTGACCGCCGCTCAATTCTCGCTGGATTTGCAAGCAGATTTTCACTTGGGTTTGTTTAGGGGGAAAAGCACGCGAAATGTCGATTGTGACGTAGCAAGGGCTTTTAACAAATTTTTTTGGTTCCTCATGAGCCGTCCAGTTGCTGCCAATGTAAATGTATATTCACGGCTTCCAGTGTGGCATGAGTTTTTCTGTTCGTAAAACGTGCGTAAAGAAAACGCATGCGAACAATTTCCACCGCCACGTAAAAATGACTGCCATGCCTTTTAACGTGAGGAAAATATTGGCCTGTGCGTAGAAGTTGAAGCCGTTTGCAACTTAACTTGCACTCTTACGATTGCAACGTGCGTAAAACGCACGTAGTACGTAAACCTCCAGAAAAAAAACAAGGAAGTAGACATATGATAACGTTTTGTCGACGCACGTAAACGTTCATCTCAACTTACCAAAGTATGTAATTTTTTTAAACGCACGTTTACGCGCATGGACAAAAGCAACAGTGGAAATCCTGCTTAATGGCACGACATTTTGCCGGTGTTTTGGGCGTTTGAGGGCCGCGATTTTCCTTTACATCTTGGATTTTCACCGAGAAACCCCTCAACTGCATAACATATTCGAAGCCGCATTTTAACTCATCACTCGGACAATTCACTCAGTGTCAGTGAGGCCTTTCAACCACGCACGTATTCCAGAAAAATCCTCCGCACATTTTAATTCAAATTGAACAGCACGTTTTAAAGACGGTTATCATATTATTGTTGAGATCAATGCGTCTATACTTCTGTCATTTTCTTTGAAAAGAACCAATGATCACTTGAAATTAAGAGAACAAATACTTAGGTCCATCTTATGACTGACAACTCAGTTCCGTTATTTCATAGAACTTGTATATATAATTATCATTTATGTGCAGTCTGTACTTTAACGTTTAAGGTACAGACTGAAATTTGCAATTAATTCCGGCGAACATGTTATGTTTACCGACTGAAGGAACATCTGAGAGATGTTTAAAGGTAGATTTTCCCGTTTCCTTCTTTCATCTACCTTATGAGATCTATAATATTCTTTAGCTCTATCAGCTGTAAACAACCTCGAGGTTCTTGTCAACAAATTTGAACTGCAGGATGTTTTGACTTCTGATTGTCACTATGTCTGGAGCCCTGAGGATGTTTAAAACACATCGACTCACACTCAGCGTTAAATATAATTACCCCAGGTTTTGTTTTCATGATGACTTTCCATCAAATGCGTGTGTTTCTTCCGAACAAAGACACGCTTGTAATGATTGTTCTCGAAGTTTCTCCCTCTTCTGTTCAACACAGATCCATATCCAATAACTGGAACATTTGCAGACTCGAACCTGGCGCTGATTTCGCTGCTTGCTGAAATTTATGTAACCCGACATATCTGTGGTTAATTTTTATTAAAATATGCGATGTATTTATAAAAGTACAAAATACACCATCTGTTTCGTATTTCTGGTCACTTGTTCCCTACGCCCGATAACCCGATCACTCGATTACTTGAAGCTCTTTCGCTTTCCCTATAAGTTCGATTTATTAGGAGTCAAATTATTTTCCTTTGCCCACAGAATCAGTTCTTTTCAGGCATTTTTATGTTGACAAAAATACCCCCCCATCCTTCCAAAAAACACACATTAAACTTTCCTGAAGTACTTCAGAGGACTTTTACAGTTATTGATCACATTTTAAAATCCTTTAATCAGCTTCGTCTCATTAAACCACCGGAAGCACATATATTTCTATATACAATGGTTTAAACGATATATCATCTGGCAAATTTTGCTCAAGGAACTGAATGATCAGAAAATAATCTATGAGCTTCTAGTCTAAGTAATTTTCCTTGCGAACGGTGAACATATTTACAAGCAAAACCACCGATATGTAATTCTCAAGAGTTTTTATACAAAATGCACGTGGCGGCAGGAAGTCGTTATTTACGACGACAAATTGAAAGGCTGGTTTGCTTCAATCTGATCTTGCTGAAAACGATCCCCAGCATAACTCAATTTTCAATACGTTACTGAAGGTATCCGTTTCAAGTATTCCTGTGATTTAGATTAAGGAGACTATTGACGCGAGTGCTTTCACTGGCGTGAATTGTATTTTTAAAATAAACATACTCTTACATATCAACCTCTACCAAGCTTGCATCGTTATAATTGGTATTTTTTTTAAAGTTGTTCGAAAACAAACAGTTTTCCGCGAACAATCTTTTGCGGTATTTAAACTTTGGAACTCTCGACTGGAGGACATTCCTTTCGTGTCCAAGATGGCTGCCAGACATTTACAGCTGCCACACTGGGAGCGTATAACTTTTACTGAGTTCGATTCAAAAATGAGTCAGTTTCACAGCTTGGTAAAGGTTTATCCAAAGTTCCACTTGCGACTTGAGGTACACATCAGTCATAAGGTCTACAAAGAATGATTTTGGAGAACGCCTTAGCAAAGAAACTGTTCATTGTTCCATAACACAAAGGATGTAAGGCGCTGGGAAGGCAAATCAAAATAAAATTATAATCAATAAAGAGTTGATGATATCTAAATTGATACGCAGTGATGTTGCAAACTCTTTCCCAAACATAATGGGCTTGATACGGAAAATAGCAGGCAACAAAAATAATGATAAGCATAAAAATCATCTTAAGTAAATCTTTCTCCGGGTCTGTGTTTTCGGGTTTGC